TTATTTTTAGTTAGCCGGGACAGAAAAACTCTGTTAGGAATTCACAACTCCTTCATCTGACGTCCGTTTTCGTCTTTCTTTTTACCGTTGCACTACTATCGACGAGATCTTTGATTCTCGTTTAGATTGTTTCGGCTAGAAACCACTCGATCTTATATTCGAACTTTGGGCTGCATACCGCTAAGTCGAAACTTTGAAAAATCATAACTTCCTCATACGAAGTCAGATTTAGACGTTCTTTTTATGCACGCCCTCGGTTTAACGTATTCTACGTCTGTCGTTTAGATCACTAAGGCTAAATATCGCTCTATCGTAAATTCACTATTTACGTCACGCAGTGTCGTACCGGTTCTGTCACGAAACTTCGACCGGTCATAACTTCTTCGTTATAACTCGGATTTCGGCATTCTTTATATATCTGGAACCCTTGTCACGACCACTACAACTTAGTTAAGATTATTCATTCTAAATAATCTTCTATCAAAAAGTCACTTTTGATGCTTATCGTCTCTAAATTGACTAGCCCGGATCCACGGGCGTTACATATATATCTATATAATGATCAATAAATGCATGTTGATTTATTAATTGTGTTTGTCATTGTGTCAATGTTCCAAGTGCAAGGAATAGCAATGTACATTGGTTTTTTTTATCCATGTTCTAAAAATAAAAATGTACTTTTGGCATCTATAAATGCATGTTGATTTTGGTAATTGTGTTTATGTCCCAAGTGAAAGAAATATCAATATACTTTTGGTATTTCTTGTATTTAAGTGCAAAAAATAACAATGTACTTTGGTAGTTTTTGTTTATTCAGGGAAACCACCAAGTGATGATCAAGGAGGAAATGAGGGGAGTGAAGATGGTGGTTAGTCGAATTAGTTTGTGTTTTGTTAGACTTGTTATGACATAAATTTATAACACTTTTTTTGTTTGTTTTGGTATTTGTTTGAAATTATAATACTTTGGTACTTAATTGGATGTTGTTATGTATTTTTTTCTGCAAGTAATATTTTTGTGTTTTTGGTAATTAATGTCGTTACGTATCGGTTTTTCTGCACCCAAAAAGAGCTGAATTAAAAAAAATGACTATTACCGACAACACTATTACTGGAGACACACGATTATTACCGATAACAACCTATTAGCGGCGATAACAATTATCACCGATGACTTCATTATTAGTGGCAACAATTAGCTTTAGCGACGATATTTTGATCAATATCGACAGGGCAGCAGCGATGAATCATTAGCGTCGACTTGTCGCCGTTATTACATTTACCGACGACTATCTTATATTTAGCGGTGATTTTTGTCGCCGCTAATAATCGTTTTTTCTTGTAGTGTAGGTCTTGAAACATATGAATATATTTTTAAATATATAAATAGATTTTACTGGTATTTATAAAAAGATGTTTTTGTAAAATTAAAAACATATTTATACATTTGAAAGCATATGCATACGTTTAAAACGTGATTATGCATTAAAAATGCATTTATATTTATTTATAGGTATAAATATTTATTTTTTATAAAATATATTGTGTACATATTAATATTAAAATAGTTATTCATATGGTTTATATTCTTTAAAATACATATTTATGTATTTATACATATTACTAAGTAACAATGTGTATTTATTTCATTTTTATATGTATACAATTCACTTTGTCAGCGCCCACTCAGCCGAAAATGTGAAGTCAACGATGTGGCATGCCTATGTCTACATGTTACCAGTTTACCATCTAAAAACTCAAAATGGAAAAAATGTGCAAAATTAAGACATTAATGAACATAATATTCAATTTAAGGTAAAACTGTCAATGTGTGCAAAACTTAAAAGCTTTTATGACAAAACTCTATGGTTAAACCCATAAAAGAAAATTAACAAACAAAAAAGAGAAATTAAATATCCTACTATATTATACTCTATTATCTTTCTACTCATCCACCAATTCATCTTAAATGATGACATGTGTTAAATTTAATAAAAATAATAAAATTTAAATATATTTGTCACCATTTAACATTGATAAAATGATAGATAGGAAAGAAAATATAGAAGGATATTTAATTTCTCAACAAAAAGCTGTTGAGGTATGAATTTGTACAGTAACTTCTTTACAAGAAATCCTAAACATCTGGTATTTACTCAATTACAAAAGCAATCAAAAAAAACATTGCTTAAAGAAATGCCGTATACATATAAACCACTAAATTTGATAATCATGCAACAAACCCTCAATATTTAAACAAAATATTTTTTAATTAACATGAAGAGTGAAAATAGACATACACAATATATTTTTTTTCCACGAATAATGTTATACTAGTATATGTACAACTTGCTTTTCATGGGCCCAGCCGCCCAGGACGCTCTGCCACGAAAAACTTTGAATTCCTACTGCAGTGCAGAGGCGCCGGTGACTGTGAAACAGAAGCAGAAGCAGTCAAAGAGGAATCAACACTAAAAGCCCCAAATTCAAGGGTATTGTTGATAATATTGATAGCAAGTCTCTGGTTCGAAAATACGATATTATCTTTCTCAAATTTTATGTTCTACGTAGAATTAGAGCAGGCCTTCCGAAATTCCTAAAGAATAACTTATGCTAATTGGTCAATTGATGTTATTTGAGGCTCTTAATTTGATTTGTTGTTGTATATTCCACTTTATAACGATTAGAGAGGAGGGAGTCATTCCCTCACAGCCCTGAACTCACTGCCACATCACTTTTTCTCTTTTATTTTTCTTCATCTTTCCGAACCCACAACACACGGAAATCCTATCTTTTTGAACCCACTCAACCCACTCAATTAAAAAAAATACAAAACAATCAAATGTAAAATCTTAATTAGCAATAGAGTTATCGGCGGTATCACTCCCGCTTCAACGAGTGGGTTGATTGGTTTCACTAACCCACTTCATCATCTTTCTCTACTTTCTCTTTCTTATTTTGTCTTGTATCATGTGTTTTAAAACTTGTACCTTAGTTGTTTTGTATTTTTGTTAATTGAGTGGGTTCAAAAAGATAGGATTCCGTGTGTTGTGGGTTTGGAAAGATGAAAAAAAATAAGAGAGAGAAAATTTGATGTGGCAGTGGGTTCGGTGGGTTGGGAGGGAACGACTCCCTCCTCCCTTATAGATCTCATGATCATGTTTAGTTAGCTATAAGAGAATGAGTCTAATCTAGCTGTTTTTCTCAGCGCTCTTCTCTTAGATTTTAAGATCGAATCCAATATTGAGATCATATCAGGTTAGTCTGTCTAGAGCATTTCTTCTCACTCAGCTACACAAGCCATTAAAAGTCTTGTTGTTCTTATTTGTTGAATCATCATTTTATTCTTTTTACATTAGTAGTCAACACGTCATTCTTTTCTACCAAATACATTCTGGGATGTTCATATTCTGCAAGGACAATGATATGACTAACAATCTTTTATGGTTGTTTATGAAATATCCATTCATTTTTATATAAGAATTAATGGTGTACTTGTGGTATTGGCTATTTTATATTGTTTTTTTGTGTGAAAAGAAAAAATTGTTTAACATAGTACCAATGCTAGGGAAGTCTAGAAACTAGAAAGTGTGGTCGTATATTCTTTAATTTTGTAATTAATAAAGATGTTAAACATTTTTAATCTACACTGATTAATAAAAAGATTTCATTCAATTATTTTTCAATATATATATATATATATATATATATATATATATATATATATATATATATATATATATTGCAATTTGCAAGTTTGTTACCGTCTTGTTTTAGAATCACTACTAGTGTAGCACTTTTTTACAAAATAAAAAAAAAATATTTTTAACAATGTAGGAGACCATGGATCAAAGTTGAAATGGACCAACTTGGCTTGTTTCTAACAAGTATACGATTTAATTAATTGAAGTGAGATAAGTTCATATCATAGTCAGTAAATTCTTGGACCCAATCATATCACGGTTCTCATTTATATCTACTATATTTGATTTCATCGGTTTGTTTTTAGGGACTCATTTCATATAAATAGTGGATCGAAACTATCCCAAGATGGGAAAAGATATAATTCATAAATACAAATTTCCAAGACTTGTAAGTCTTTAAATGTCTAAATTGGGGCAATCCGTTTCAATTCATCTTTAATTTGTCTTACTTTTCATAGAAATTACGTTTCACAATTGAGGTTGTTGATTTGAATAGGCCACCTATTTGAGGTTGTTGATTTGAATCTTTTGTCTTCAGAATTGAGACTATATAAACCCTCATGAGGGGCCGTTTGAATATGAATCACTACCCAAAAAAAAATTAAAAAAAAATATCACCAAGATTTGCATTAACATAATGAATCCTTGTGTTTTTATCATTTTCTCACTTCTCTTGCTATGCCTTGAGACTATAACTTCCAACCAATTGGTAGCAACGGGAGGAGGAGATGATAATGGTATTACGAACAAGTGTTCCGATAAGGAGAGACGTGCTCTTCTTGATTTCAAAGCTCGCCTCCAAGACCCTGATGAAACTCTCTCCACATGAAGATCTGAAGAAGAAGAATGTTGTAACTAGAGTGGAGTCACGTGCAACAACCAAACTGGTCGTGTCATTGAGCTAAATATTAGCTCTGGTGGCCTTGAAGGTGAGATAATCAATTCTTTGCTTAAGTTAAGCTACCTGACTCATCTTGATCTCTTCTCTAATTCTTTTCATGGAATTATTCCCACGTTCATTGGTTCAATCCTTCACCTTGGTTCAAATCATTTGAATGGAACCATTCCCAGGTCCATTGGTTCCTTGACAAAGTTAAGGCACCTTGACCTTTCAGATAACTCTCATTGTGGTATCATCCCTCTAGAGTTTGGAAACCTCACAAACTTGCAAGTGCTTAATCTTGGATCCCTTGGAAAGTCTAGAGTTTGAAACCTAGATTGGTTATCTCATCTTTCTCATTTAGAGGCACTTGAAATGGATGGGATTTCTCTAGCCAAACAAAATTATTGGATAGATATGATTTTGCGTCTCCGGAAACTAATTTCTTTAAGTTTAGAGGGATGTGAGCTCTCACAGGTCGTGTATCCATATTCTTCTTCATTTCTCAACTCTTCTTCATCTATTGATACCCTTATTCTCAATAACAACAATCTGACCTCATCCATGTATCGTTCGTTGTTCCCATTAACAAGAAATAAGCTTCGCATTCTTGATCTCTCTGGGAACATATTAGATGGGATTCCCAAATATCTTGGTAACCTCTGTAATTTGGAACGTTTGTATTTCTATAACAACTCTGCTGTTGTCAATTTTCCTGATTTTCTAAACAACTTGTTTGGATGCACATCGCTTACATTACAAGGGTTGCTTGTTGGACATAACCGATTGATAGGGAAACTCTCCAATGAGACCTTAAGATTTCAAAATCTTTCCCTTCTTGGTATGAAATCTTGCAATCTAGGGCCTCACTTCCCAGATGGATTCAAACTCTGAAAAATCTTTCATATCTTGATATTGCCAATAATGGAATTTCAGACACAATTCCTCTGGGGTTTTGGGACATGTGGCCTTCTCAATTAACATATCTCAATCTCTCTTCCAACAACATCAGCAGGAAAGCACCAGATTTATCATCAAAGAGTGGCTACATTTCAATGATAGATTTGAGTTCCAACAGATTTTATGGCCCAATAACTAATGTCTCTTACACTCTGACATCACCACATCTTTCTAGAAACAATTTCTATGGTGGAATCTCCTTCTTATGCCAAATTGACCAGGGGTTTTTAGTTGTTCTTGACCTCTCCCATAATTTTCTAAGCAGACAACTTCCAGACGGTTTGTGGCATTTCAAAGAACTTGTAACACCCCAATTCTGGTATGTTATTTAAATAATTATTTTTCAAGTTTTCAAGAGGAACTCGACGAGTCAGTAGCCCGACTCGTCGAGTAGAGACGGGATGAGCACGCGTTTGGAGCCGGCTATTCGGCGAGTCCATATGCTCGGACTCGGCGAGTCTGCCAGCCTGGAAGAAACCCTAATTTCAGGGGTTTACACCCTATTTAAACGTCTTTATAGCCCCTTTCCAGCCTCCATCACCTCAGAACGTCTCTCCCTGTAAACCCTAGCCCACCATTGTTGAGTTTGAGTGAGTTCTTCCTAATTACTGTGTTTTGTGTGTATTTTGGTGTTGAAGAAGAGAAGGAAGGAGAGAAGGTCCAAAGGAAAGGAAGGAGATCCAGATTCTAGGCTCCATTTGCTTCAACTTCGGGTAATAAAGTTTCCATCTTGGTTATTGAACTTATAAATCTAGTTTGTCCCAAATTTGGTGGTTTTGGAGCTCAAAAACCACAAATCCTTAGTGTTGGAGCTTTGTAGTCGATTCCTGTCTCAGATCTAATCTCTCTTGTGCTCCAGAAGCTCAGTAGAACCACCTTTTGGCAGCCATAACCTTGTTCTAGTCAAGTAACCTCGATAATAGCCAAGTTTTAGTGTTCTTGCTTCATTACACCATGAGTACACGTAAAGTTAGCAACTTTACGTGTTAAGTTAGTCCTAGAACCCAGATCTATGAATTGGATGCGTTGAATCGATCTAGAATCGACTGTATGGTGATTGCATGTTAGGACTCGGCGAGTCGTTCATAGGACTCGGCGAGTCTGGTCGTGAATCCTGAATCTAGGGTTACGACAAGTTACTGAGTTGAACCATTGAGTCGAGAAAGGACTCGGTGAGTAGAACGAGACAGGATTTGGAAATAGGGAGACTCGGCGAGTCGTGGCATGACTCGGCGAGTCGAGTCGTGACTAGCATCATATTTCGGTGTCAAGAGACTCGACGAGTCAGGAGGTGACTCGGCGAGTCGGATCGTGAGTAGAATTAGTTAAGAGCTCGAGAAATCGGCGAGTCAGTAGGAGGACTCGACGAGTAGGGTCAACTGGAGAGGGTTGACCTTGACTGGACTTTGACTTTGACCAGCGGTAAAATAGTCATGTTACCCTCAGTATAGTTATCAGTATTTGATTGAGTGTATTTATGGGAAATTGTAGCCGGGGAGATACCGGAGCAGCAGCAGACAGTTTCCCCATCAGTTTGTTCAGCAGCCAGATTACGAGGTGAGTTTCCTTCCAGTAGGAACGGGTCTACGGCCACAATGCCGGCCCGTTTAGTTAGCAGTAGTTCCAAACTTCGGTCTGATGCAGTAGTTCAGTGTGCTTGATGTCTTTATGATTTAAGCATGAATTTGTGATTATGTGTTCCGGACTTCGGTCTGATGCAGTATGCAGTATATGTGTTTATGCCAGTAGTTGTGATTATGTTATGCTATGTTCAGTCAGTTCCGGACTTCGGTCCGATGCAGTTTCCGGACTTCGGTCTGATGCAGTTTCTGGACTTCGGTCCGATGCAGTTTCCGGACTTCGGTCCGATGCAGAGGGCAAGGCCCTGGTCAGTTCCGGACTTCGGTCCGATGCAGTTTCCGGACTTCGGTCCGATGCAGAGGGCAAGGCCCTGGTTAGTTCCAGACTTCGGTCTGATGCAGTTTCCGGACTTCGGTCCGATGCAGTGGGCAAGGCCCAGTAGTTTCTTATATGTTATTGTATGGTATGTGGTAGTTTGGGGGAGCTCACTAAGCTTTGTGCTTACAGTTTCAGTTTTGGTTTCAGGTACTTCCACAAGTAAAGGGAAGAGCTCGGGATGATGGCATCGCACACACCACAGCTTCAGTTTTAGTCCTGGGAGTTTGATCAGTTTATTTTGATATGAGATGATACAGTTTGATACAGTTTTATTATGATATTTTACTATGGTTTGAGATATTTGACGTACGGTTTCTATGATATGATCTTCAGTGCATGATTTTATTTATTAATTAAACGAAAATTTTTGGGTCGTATTTTGGGATGTTTCAAGTTGATATCAGAGCCTTGGTTTGAGGGATTCAGGCACACTCTCGGGTGTGACTGGACTCAAACTGAGGAAATGGTAGAAATATTTTCAAAAATGTTTTCAAAAAGATTTTTGAAAAAGAAAACCTAAAAAGAAAAAGAGTTTTGAGAAAAGGAAAAGGGTGTGGTGCATGTAATCAGCCGAGCTCAAGTAAGTACTCCCAAATTACCCGTACAAGTTATGTTGTGATTGTCAGTTTCAGTTTCAGTAGAACAGCATGCTAGAATAGGACTAAGGGTCTAGGAGGATGCCTTATGTGCCTGCTATATGTGTTTCAGCTCTCTGAGAATTGCATGCTAGTATTGAGTAGACAGCAGTAGGATAGCCTGTTTAGGTTATGCCTGATAGTATGAGCTTAGCATTGTATGCTAGTACAGTTTCTTGTTATGAGGATAGAATTGCTTGAGTAGTCTTTTGTGTCTGAATGCTGCTTGCTTTGTGCTTTGTGGGACTCGGAGTAATGGGAGTTAGCCATTAGGTGAATATGTCACGTCACATGTGAACAGGGTTGAATAATCTCAGAGTGCTAGATTTGGCTCTATTGCGCAACTCTTGTTTGAGTCTAACCGTTGTAGGGACGAGTCTTTTACTCGAAGGATTATCTGAGCCTCGCCACATGTGATGGTATTCAGGTGATGGCTAATTGGCATTACAAGGAGGCCTTCAGCAGCTGAGGACTGGATTGGGTAGAGTCAGAGATTTCCCTAGGGCAAGCCTAGGATGGGAGTAGCAGAGATCAGTAGCAGTAGTAGTGACTTGGTGGAGTAGAGGCAATACTTGAGGAAAGTACGGATAGATGTGGAAGGTAGTATGGGCCCGTACTACTGAAAGCAGAGGATCCGTACTCGAATCAAGGAAAGCTGAGATGAGACCAGGAAACTTGTGGTAGTAGTGATCCCTCGAGATATATCAGTGTTCCTGACGTTTATTATGATGTGTTTTCAGAATGGTGGTTTTACGCCCTAGACCAGCAGTCGGCAGTTCAGGTGCCGGAGAGGGATCAGGATCAGGCCCGGAGGCCGGGCAGTTGGATGAGCAGACTAGGGAGTTTCTCTCTTCAGAGATTACTCGCACCATACTTGAGCAGACTCCTGTGATCTTCGGTTCGATCAAGGAGGGTATCTTAGAGTTGATGGACGAGAGGTTGAGCACCTTCCGTGCTGAGGTGGCGGCCATGATGGGGTCGCACACGCTTATTTTCAGGGAGTTCCGGGCATGTAGAGCTCCAGATTACCATGGGGCGCGGGACCCCATAGCGAGTACTAGATGGTTGGCGGATGTGGCCAACGCTTTCCGCACGAGCAGGTGTCCCGAGGGGGACAAGGTCAGATTGGCGTCCTGTCTTTTGAAGGACAGGGCACGAGATTGGTGGGAGGAGGTCGGACATGCCATTGGAGATGATGCAGCTTTAGATGCTATGACCTGGGCTGATTTTACTACCAGGTTCAGAGCCGAGTTTGCACCGATTATTGAGGTGCAGCAGTTAGCCAGGGAGTTCCAGGATCTCACCCAGACTACAGAGACAGTGGCGGAGATTACCGCCAAGTTCAGGGAGAGGGCTCTTCTTGTTCCTCAGTACTCAGCTGATAAGGAAATGAAGAAGGCCCGTTATCATGAGATGTTGTGGAGTGATATCCGCCAGTTTGTGAGCCGGTCCAGCTGTAAAACGCTGGATGACCTGATTGCCAGGGCTCGAGAGAGAGAGATTGACCTTGAGATGGAGCGGAAGAGGAATCTGGAGGCGGCTTCGGGTACAGGGAGTTCGGGCAAAAAGCCCAAGGTGTCAGATCATAGGTCCAGAGGTCAGCAGAGCCACGGTCGGTGTGGCAAGTGTGGTAGATTGCATGATGGGGCGTGCAAGGCAGGGAGTGCCGGCTGCTATAAGTGCGGCCGGACTGGGCATATGAGCAGAGATTGTACGGCCACTACTACCGCCATTGCGGCATCAGATCTGATTTGCTTTCAGTGCAATCAGAGGGGACATAAAAAGTCCTAGTATCCGAGTTTAGCTACTGCAGGGAAGGTGTCAGCACCTGCCCCTGCTACTTTGAGGATTACAGATGGCCGTCATGGCCGAGTTGAGACGCCGGTGGCGAAGAGTAGGGCTTTTCAGTTGACAGCAGAGGAGGCGCGAGCGACTCCTGACGTGGTGACGGGTATGTATTTTTTCCCTTATCTCTGCATTTAGTATTGATTGTTTCTTATGGTTATATGTTTTGTATAGGGTCGTTCTCAGTGAACGGCATATCAGCCACAGTATTGTTTGATTCGGGGGCTACCCGATCATTCGTCTCTCTTGCACTTAGCAAGAGGTTTAGCAGAGCTCCAGGGGAGCTAGATTGTCCACTTGAGGTTGAGATAGCAGCTGACAGGACCGTTAGGGTTGCGAGAGTACACAGAGGATGTTCCCTTCAGTTGTTCGATGAGCAGTTTCCGGTAGACTTGGTCCCTATTCCCCTGCGAGGGAATAAGGTCATAGTAGGCATGGATTGGCTGAGCCCCAATGGGGCGGTGATAGATTGTGAGCTACAGTTAGTGAGGGTTC